GCAATTTTGTTTATTCCTTCCTAAGTTAGGAATCCTACTACATTAAGGAATAGTCAAGTCAATTCCTACTAGGAAGTGCTTGAACTAATCTGTTCGTTTTAATTTGTTTGGGTTGGTTCTTTTATTGCTTTTCTTAGTCGTTTCTTTGTGTCTTTCTGTTTCCTTTAACTCTTGCAGATTTGTTGGAGTTAGATTGCTGCAAAATAACTTGAATTGAGTTTGTTTAGTTCAATAATGAACTGAAAGAGGGAAGTTGAGTGAGGGAAAAAGGCAAGAGGTGTGAGCAACACTTGAGAGAAAAGCCAAGTTCTATAGTGTGCAAAACACGAGCGTTGAGTGCCATTCTGTGAGAGAGTGGAGTGAAACACGTAAGGGAGTGTTGGGAGGTCCTTTTATTTTCTGTTTCTAACATTCCTTGCAGGTTTCAATCATGTCAAGCGGTGATGACAAAAAACACCAAGTGGATGATTCCTTCATGCTCAAAGCTATGCAACAATAATGTCAAAGGCTAGACATCATGTTTGGTGAAATTAAAGACAAAATGGAGAAGCAAGATGCAGCCATTGCCAAGTTATACCAAATCAGAATGGAAGTCCAAATTTGCATAATCCCGATCTTGATGACAATGATGAAGATGCATTCAACGATGATGCCCAGAACTCAAATTTTAGCATGGATAGATTTATGAGAGGTAGAAGGGGTCAAAGATATAGATTTAACAAAGGAGACCAAAATCTGGCAAGGTGGGGAGATCGGCAAGATCATGACTTAGGCAGCATCAAGATGAAGATTCGTCCATTTCAAGGCAAAAATGATCAAGATGTGTATTTGGAGTGGGAAAAGAAGGTGGAATATGCCGTTGATGGAAAACTACTTGTCACTAGGCGAGCTTTGAATGTGCAAGCCAAAGAAGATGATGAAGTACAACGTGACAATATATTTCACACGAGATGCCATGTCAACAACAAGGTATGTAGTGTGATTATTGATGGTGGTAGTTATATTAATGTCGCTAGCACTGTTTTAGTTGAAAAGCTTAATTTACCTATGATGAAGCATCCAAGGCCATATAAGCTGCAATGGTTAAACGATTGTGGAGAAATCAAGGTAAATAAGCAAGTTCTGGTTTCATTCTCTATTGGATGATATAAGGATGAGGTACTTTGTGACGTGGTTCCTATGCATGTTCGACATTTACTTTTAGGGAGACTATGGCAATATGATAAGAGGGTAACACATGATGGCTTCAAAAATTGCTATTCATTTGTCATGGAGGGGAAAACAATTACTCTTGCACCATTGAATCCAAGGCAGGTTTATGAGGATCAACTAAGAGTAAAAAAAGAGAGTGAGCTGAGAAATGAGAGTGAGCTTGAGGGTATGAAAAACAAAGAGAAAATAGCAAAAATAAAGTCCAAAAAGAAAGAAAAGATCGATAGTGTTGAAAACAAAGAGAGAAAATCAATGAGTGTTTATGCAAAAGAAAGTGATGTCAAGGCTGCATTCTTTGCAAAGCAGCCTATGTTTGTGCTTCTATATAAAGATGCTTATTTTAACACAAACGAACTTAATGATTCTTTGCCTAGTGTTGTTAAATCTCTTTTGCAGGACTTCAAGGATGTGTTTCCAGATGACGTTCCTAATGGTTTACCACCAATAAGAGGAATCGAGCATCAAATTGACTTCATTCCTAGTGCAACAATTCCAAACCGACTAGCATATCGAAGCAATCCCAATGAGATGAAAGAACTTCAAAAGCAGGTCGAAGAACTCATGAAAAAGGGACATGTGAGAGAAAGCATGAGTCCATGTGCAGTTCCAGTGCTACTTGTGCCTAAGAAGGATGGGACTTAGCGTATGTGCGTTGATTGTCGTGCAGTCAACAAAATCACTGTAAAGTATTGTCACCCTATTCCTAGATTAGATGACATGTTAGATGAGTTGCATGGTTCTTGCATATTCTGTAAAATTGATTTAAAGAGTGGATATCATCATATTAGGATGAAGGAAGGAGATGAATGGAAAATAACCTTTAAAACGAAACATGGTTTATACGAGTGGTTAGTTATGCCATTTGGATTAACTAATGCACCTAGTACATTCATGTGATTAATGAGTCATGTTTTGCGTGCTTTCATTAGCAAATTTGTAGTTGTTTATTTTGATGACATTCTGATATATAGCAAGAGTTTAATTGAACATATAGAGCATGTGCGATTGGTACTAGAGGTGTTGAGAAAAGAAAAGTTGTTTGCTAACCTTACAAAGTGTTTCTTTTGCACAAATCAGATTGTTTTTTTAGGGTATGTTGTTTCAGCTGATGGAATCGCAGTAGATGAAGAAAAGGTTAAGGCTATTAAAGAATGGCCGACAACTAAAAATATTTCTGAGATGCAGAGTTTTCATGGTTTGGCGAGTTTCTACCAAAGATTCATTAAGGATTTCAGCACAATTTCAGCACAATTTCAACACCGTTAACTGAAATTGTGAAAAAAAAGTGTTGGATTTAAGTGGAAAAGTGAACAAGAGAATGCTTTCAATTTAATTAAGGAAAATTTAATTTCTGCACCGTTACTTGCTTTACCTGATTTTACTAAAACTTTTGAAATTGAATGTGATGCATCAAGTATTGGCATTGGTGCTGTTTTGATGCAAGAGCGGCGGCCTATTGCGTTTTTCAGTGAAAAATTAACTGGTGCAGCACTGAACTATCCTACTTATGACAAGGAGATGTATGCATTGGTAAGGGCTTTAGAGAGATGGCAGCATTATCTTTGGCCTAAGGAGTTCGTGATACATACTAATCATGAGTCGTTGAAGCACCTAAAAGGACAAGGTAAGTTGAATAGACGACATACTAAGTGGGTGGAATTCCTTGAGACGTTCCCCTATGTGATCAAGTATAAGCAAGGAAAGGAAAACATTGTGGTTGATGCATTATCTCGTAGGTACACACTTATCTCTACCCTAAGTGCAAAGTTATTAGGTTTTGAGCACATTAAAGAATTATATGCTAATGATCCAAATTTTGGTAACGTGTTTAATGCATGTGAGAAGATTGCTTTTGATAAGTTGTATAGGCATGAAGGGTACTTGTTTAGAGAAAATCGATTATGTGTGCCTAACTGTTCCTTAAGAGAATTGTTAATAAGGGAATCTCATGCGGGAGGCTTAATGGGACATTTTGGAGCTAGGAAAACTTTAGATATTCTGAATGATCACTTCTTTTGGCCACACATGAAACGTGATGTTGAAAGGATCTGTGAAAGGTGCATAACATGTAAACAAGCAAAATCTAGAGTTTTACCACATGGTTTGTATACTCCTTTACCCATACCTACTGAACCTTGGGTTGATGTATCTATGGATTTTGTTTTGGGCTTACCAAGGTCAAAAACAGGTCACGATTCTATTTTTGTTGTTGTTGACAGGTTCTCGAAGATGGCACACTTCATTCTATGTCATAAAACTAACGATGCAACCAATATTGCGGATCTATTCTTCAAGGACGTTGTTCGTTTACATGGCATTCCAAGGACCATCGTTTCTAATCGCGATGTCAAGTTCTTGAGTTACTTTTGGAAGACATTGTGGGGAAAGCTGGGAACTAAGCTACTGTTTTCGACTATTTGTCATCCACAAACTGATGGACAAACAGAAGTGGTTAATAGGATGTTGTCAACCTTATTGCGTTCTATTATTTAGAAGAACTTGAAGAACTAGGAAGAGTGTTTGCCGCACGTTGAATTTGCTTATAATCGGAGCGTCCATTCAGCAACTAACTGTTCACCATTTGAAGTTGTGTATGGTTTTAATCCACTCACTCCTTTAGATTTATTGCCTTTACCTATTGACGAACAAGCTAGTTTAGATGGGAAAAAGAAAGCTGAAGCGATTAAGCAACTACATGAGAGTGTGCGACAAAACATAGAGCGACGAACTGAGCAGTATGCAAAACAAGCCAACAAAGGACGCAAGAAAGTTGTATTTGAACCTGGTGATTGGGTTTGGGTGTATATGCGCAAGGAGCGATTCCCTGCACAGAGGCATTCTAAGCTGCAACCAAGAGGCGATGGACCATTTCAAGTGATTACGAGGATTAATGACAATGTATACAAGTTGGAGCTTCCTGGTGAGTATAATGTTAGTGTTACTTTTAATGTTTCTGATCTTTCTCCTTTTGATGTAGGTGACGATTTGAGGACAAATCCTTTTGAGGAGAGAGGGAATGATGGGAATCAAGATGACAACATATCTACTACGTCACGTGATCCATTACACACCCAAGGAGATCTAGTCACGCGAGCTAGAGCTAAGAAGATGCGAGAAGCTTTAAATGGCCTTATTAAGCAAATCTGGGTTGATAACAACATGCAAGAAGTAAATCGAAGCTTGGATGATTATCAAGGCATGATAAACGTCATTCAGGTTTAAGAGAAGCTTAATTGAGGTCATTCATGTTAAATTACACAGTTTGCGTCAATCTCGCAATTCTGTCGCAATTTGTAACAAACTGATATTTCATGTTATTTTAGGTTACTTTTAGTGATTTTCACATTTTTTATATTATTTCGGATTGAACATTCATTTATTTAAGGCCCAATTCATGGTTATTATGATTAGGGCTCAGGGTGTTAGTTTCCTATTCTGATTAGAATTATTTTTCCCTATTTAAAGGGGCTTGCAACCCTAATTGAAGGGGTGATGGAATCTGAGATTTTGAGAGACTTTTCTCTTTGGTTCGTTTCAGAACTTTATAGAACTTATCAAGATTATTCTTGTGGCGTTCTAACCTGACTTATCATTCTCGTTCTTAATCGTTCGAGGGTGTGGCGTCAACCAACTTTATACCTCTGATTCTTGTTGCGTCATAGACAACGGGTCAATGTTTTTTACCTTTGGTTCTTGTTGCAATATAAACAAAGGGTCAAGGTCCTATTATAAACCTGATTTAGCTTTTCTGGAGTTTAGAAATCCCTTATCGTGTTGTGGGTCTCATTGTTCTTTTTGGAGTTCTCATCAAGAAGTTTAACAGGCAATAATCACCTTTAGGACCTTTTGGACTAAAAATGGCTAAATCTGAATAATAGTTTATCACTGTTTGTTTAGTTCCATTATATGAAAAGGCGATTTAAATTTAAATTAAGAAGATCAATCTCTGCCCTCCCCTAGAAGAAGATTAACTTCTAAAGAGAAGTTCCAGCTTTAGTTGATTAAACCAAACCTAGTCAATTAAGCATAACTAGACCTCAAGTTTCCTAGTAAACATACCAAACACAAGTAACTTCGCTTTTTCGTATTCATCTTGGCCTCTTAAAACTCATTTTCATCCAACAACCATTTTCAAGTGCTGCAATTGCTAAGAAAGGCGTCCAACCTCTTTTGGATTTTACTATTTTGTATAAATGTTCACCTGAAGAAGACCTTTTGTGCATAGCAGATTATGTAGGGATTTGTTATCCCAACACTAAACTCAATTTATGCTAATTATATCTCTCCATTTACCCAAAAAAAAAAAACCATTTTCAAGAGATAACCAAACATGACATTTCTTACTAGAAAAAAAGAAAGAAAATGCACACCACAAAACGCAGTGTTTTCCTCCGGCTATGCCAGGTAGAAAAAGCTTGAAGACGGTTTTCCCAAAGGTTTTCTTCCCTGCAGTTCCCCTGGATTAATCATCATGTGGGCAGCAACCGTCTCCTTTCCTTCCCCACTCATTGCGAATTCGCCAACGAACTATAGAAGCCATAAAGACTTGAAGCGTAGAGCATCCCTCTACGGTTTTCCTCTGGCGAGCAAAATCATGGTTAGAAGTAAAGTCTTTTTCCTCTCTCTCCTTTTTTTTTTACTCACAAATTTGATTTACTTCTTATCTGGGTTTTTCCCAGTTCTTTTTCTTTTTCTTTTAATTTGTTAAAAGTTTGAAACTTTACTTACTATGAATTGAGAAGGTAGTGGACAATGGTTCATTCTTGTTGATTTTTTATTTACTAGGAATCTGGTGGCTGTGACAAACTAATTATTTTCTTATATATGTAGCTTTTATGGTGTTAGAATTTGTGATTCTGAAAAATGTTAAAATTTTTTTGGAGCTTCTCTTAAATCTGTTGGAAACGAACATTGTTGGGATTCAAAAGGGTGTTTATAAAACATGTTAATATGCAACGGTGCAACTTATTGCTCAGATTAAAAAGTGTAGGAAGAAAGTTTCGACACCGAACTTTGTTGAAATGCTTGAAGCATGAAATTATCTGTAGTGGTTGTCACTTCTCAGTTGATCAAAATGATGATCTTGACTTTGATGAGAATCCCTTAGATTAGTTTCTTTCTAAATTATAAAATATACAAATTTTGTTCTTTGTTATACCAAAATTATTGCAAGTTAAGACTTAAGAGTGTTGTTCCAATAAATGAGTTAATTGACTAGTGAAAATGGTAGGCAATGACTTTTTGTAGAGTGTTAGTAGTGTTGATATTTTACTGTCATTCAAACATTGTGCAAGTTCGGACCCTCGAGAAATCTGTTGCCTAGGCTCTAGATCATGTTTCTGTCTAGTTTATTCATTGATGTTTTGTCTGCTCTGTTTGTCTGTCATTCAAACATTGGGCAAGTTGGGACCCTGAAGAAATCTGTTGTCTAGTCTCTAGATCATGTTTCTGTCTAGTTTATTCATTGATGTTTTGTATGTTCTGAAACATGAAGTTTGTTTGTTAGGAGATACTTAAAAGAACTAGTAGTAATCCAATTCAGATTTACTTCTCCAAAATACATATCCTCTGGTCAATATAGAAAATTTGCAGTGTAATGTGTGAATAGACACATTGGTGGCTTAATGCTGAGAAATTATGAATTTCTTACCACAGATTTGCCATATTCTACCAATGAAAGCAGTTTGCAGACGGAATTTTCAAAGTTTGGCCCAATAGCTGAAGGTAATTTTCATTTCTCTCCTCATCAATCAGTGTGGATAATAGGATTAATGCTTCATATCTTTTAACTCCATGTCAATCTATGGCAGTTAAGCTTGTAAAGATGGATTAACAAAAAGATCCAAGGGATTTGCATTCATTCAATATACATCTCAAGATGATGCAATTCTAGCAATAGAGAACATGGATCAAAAGGTTTATTTTATAATCTTGCTCTTCTTTTCGGCATAAAGGCATTTTACTTTCCATATATACCTAAAACTTGGAGGCTCAAACCGTTTTTGCTTTTATCAGTTATTTGATGGCAGATTGATCTATGTTGAAATTGAAAAAATGGGGAAGGAAAGATTCCATGTTGATCCAAAAACCTCTGGACCCCTAAAGAAAGACACAATCCCAGCAGGAAACATATAAGGTAGCAGATGGCTGCTAGTCTGGTACTAATATTATGACTACAAGCAATGGCACAAGGATATTGGCAAAAGAGGGGATATAATAGCACCATGCAGCATAGCAAATTCAACTAGAATTGTCTAGTTTGAAAATATCAGCAGAAAACGTATGGTCTTCACTCTGTAGAGTAGTTTCTTTTCTTCATGCCATACCTAAAAATTTTTTGTAGCTTGATTTCCTTCAAAGCATGAGATTGGCCGGGGATGGCAAGAGAGAATTAACTGCTTATTCAATAATATAGCATAAATGGCCATGAAAGATCCTACTGCTTGTTCTGAAATAGTTGGACAGAAGGGAAGAACAGGCTCAAACCCTTCATAAAAATTGACAAGAACGATTCTAAAATATGAATAGGTAAATCAAATCTCTTTTTGATTATAAATTAAAGGAAAAAGAGTTGTGTAATGCAAATTATATTGAATTGCATAAAAATAAACAATGAAAGGGGAAGGAAGAACCCCCCTCTAACAAAATTTTCTCCAATGGCCTCCCTCTTCTTATCTAATGGTTTTTATTATATAATTTGAATTACATTAAATTACAATAAAAGGGACGCTAAATGAAAATATAAAAAGTATAATAACAATCCCAAATCAGTTTTTTGTTATGCTATTGTAAAATGGAGGCTATCCCTGTGTTTATTTGGTGAGCCTACCCTCGATTAATTATCATTATTGTGTAGTCATCTGATTTTTGTTACGAGAAGGAATAAAAATTTTGATTTAAAATGTTAGGACTTATTGATATTAAAATAATCAATACTATTACCAATGATGTAAGTAATTTAGTGATTATTTTCTTTCAATTTCTTTCATTGAATAAGATCTTAAGTTCAAGTAGTTTAATATGTGAGTGGAGTAGAATAAGAGATGATAGATGTTTATCTTATGTAAGCAAAATAAAAAAAAATACTACTATCATATTAAAATTGTTTAAATATTTTTATTATTATTGTTTTGTTCGCATTGGTAATGGATTCATTAAAATGTCATTTCCACCATTTTCATAGAGACGGATTTCTCGCAAAGTACCAATTAAAATTAAGCATAGAAGTTTCCGGAATCGAACCCATGACAATTGGCATGGCAGTTGCCAGTTAGTGTATGGTGAAGCATTGAATTTAGGCAAAAGTCGCACTGAATTTGTACGCGACAGTTAAGTCCACCTCCAAAGTTGGTTTCTTTCCCGAAATTTCTCCTCTATAAACCTGAAGCAGAACCAAATTCCTCAAAGCGGAGAGAGGATGGTGGAAGGTGAATTGGGTACAGAGGCAGACCAAGTTGCCGACAAGCCTGTTCGTGTTTATGCCGACGGAATATTCGATCTCTTCCACTTCGGTCACGCCCGAGCCCTCGAGCAAGCCAAGAAACTGTACTTAAATTCCTACTCTCTTGCAATTTCCTTACTTTTTGCCTCTGGTTTTTTTTCTTTTTTCTTTTTTTTTGTGGGAAAATTTTCTTCCCATTCAAAGGTGGGGTTTTTAGTTTCTTTTTGGGATTTTGTGCTTAGGAATCATGTTCTGCTCCCTTTTCATGTTTATTGGTTCATGATCTCAACTGGGGTTTTGCCTAATTTTACTTCCAAGCCCCCTGCACTCTTATTCTATGTATGCTTGTCCTTGCTCAATTATTTTTTCATGGAAACTATGATATGGAGATGCTAGATTGTTTCCATCTTGTAGAATGTAGATCGTTTGTTCATGTGTGGGCTTGGTCCTGTATGAGTCCTAGTGTACGTCCTGTTTGCTATCTTAGGACATCAATTCATCATTCAGCTCTTGGATTTAGGTTCCCAAACGCTTATCTGCTTGTTGGATGTTGCAATGATGAACTTACCCACAAATTTAAGGGAAAAACTGTTATGACAGATAAGGAACGCTACGAGGCCCTTCGACATTGCAGGTTGGTTCATACGGACATGGTTGGTTTTAATGGTGTGGTTCGCTATTGAAACATAGGAAATGGACTGTGAGATGCTTATGGTACTTGTTTCTTTATGGCAGGTGGGTTGATGAAGTTATTCCTGATGCACCATGGGTGCTCACTAAAGAGTTTCTGGACAAACATCAGATTGACTATGTGGCACATGATTCTCTCCCGTAAGGTCATTCAGCCCAAATAATCTAGTTGTCATCACTAAAAAACTTTAGCCCTTGGATTGTTGAGTGGAAGGAAAATTGTGAAAATGCTTGTAGAACGCATGTTTTTTTTCGCATCATTTGGTTTTCATTTGATTTATTTCTGTGGTTATTGTCTGGTAGTTTAAGGATTTGCTCTCTTGGTTATCATGTATATTATGTCTTGGTTATTTACTAGTGCTTCAACTGACTATCTTTGTTGTTAATTTTTGCACATGTAAATGTCGGATTGGGTAGGAAATTTTGTCCTTGTAGTGGTCTCCAGTTTTCCAACTTTTATTTATTGTGAGTTTCATATCTTTTCAATTGAAGACCCAGCTATACTCAATTATGTTAATTTCATTTCCTGTTTTCTGAACATTGGTAGCTATGCTGATGCAAGTGGGGCTGGAAATGATGTCTATGAATTTGTAAGTTAATTTGCTCATTTCCAATCAGTTTAAAATATATGAATATTCATATATTTTAAGCTTGGAAACAACATTCCGCTTCTGATCAGTTTCTCTTACAAATCATCATTTGACTCATTTTAATGTGTTTTGTGTATCCTTTCTTTTTCTCTACAGGTTAAGTCCATTGGAAAGTTTAAGGAAACAAAAAGGACTGAGGGTATCTCTACATCAGATATTATAATGAGAATCGTTAAAGATTACAACCAGTATGTGTTGCGCAATTTGGACCGTGGATATACAAGAAAGGAACTAGGTGTTAGCTATGTCAAGGCATGTTTCAGTTCTTGTGCGACCTTGGTTCTCTTTTGTATGCTGTTGCTTAGCTGACTTGGGACCCTCTGGATCTATTTGTTACTGTCAGGAAAAGCGACTGAGAGTGAACAGGGGACTTAAAAAATTGCGTGAAAAAGTGAAGAAACAGCAAGAAAAAGTGGGAGAGAAGGTATTTTTATCACATGCTGCATAAATCATTAGCTTTATGATGTGATACACTTCGTTTACTCTTTTTTTTTCGGCCATCCATTTACTGATATCCTTTACTGTTATCTACTTCAATGTTACCCTCAACTGAACTCTGGGGATTAGGTTAGGTAAATTGTTACTAAATAAGTATGTTATTTGACTGTATTCCTTGGACACTCAGCTTGCAAAATCTCTTGAATGGGTAGCACTTTCTCTTCTGGATTTTGTTCCCTCAGTCAAATAATGACCTAGATATTGACTTTCCTTTACAGCTACCAGGAACTGACTTGCCAGATTTCTGATTGCATGACTGATTACTTTTTTCTGCTGTGACATTACAGATACAAGTTGTGGCAAAAACTGCTCGTGTCCGGCGTAATGAATGGGTAGAGAATGCTGATCGACTGGTGGCTGGATTTCTTGAGATGTTCGAGGAGCGTTGCCACAAAATGGTTTGGCCTTAACCTCCTTCCTTTTCTTTCTTCCGCAGTCTCTCGTGCATAGAGGAGAACTTACATATTTCAACCTTAGTAACTGAACTCGTTATTGTTTTACCCTAGGGAACTGCCATCAGAGACCGAATTCAAGAGCGTCTAAGGGGGCAGCACCTGATAGGATTCATATATGACAGAGAGGAAGATGAGGACGAGGACGAGGATGATGATGATGATGTCTACTACTATGACTCGGACACTGATAATAAGGATTACCATGATGACTAGGACGCAAAAATGCTTTTTAGTTGAAATCTTGTCTGTCAACTGATAGAAGTACCTATTTTGATGGACTATTAATCATGGTTTGCAATGTAACTTAATAACTATTTTATATAAAGGATTTTCTTCATCCGAGAGGGAAAAATGGTTGTCTCCTTCTAGTTTTGGAACTAAAATCCAGTTCCATGCAGGTGACTGTCTCTACTTTAGTAGTGGGGTTGAAATAAAAGGTAAAAGCAAAATATGGTTCAACTTGAACGCAATGTGGATCTGCATCCTTGTTTTAGTGCTTCTTTTGCTTGGGTCTTTTTAAGATCTCAATATATTGATTAATCATTGGACAAGACTCCACTACCAGATGATGAAGTAGGAGTACACTTTCTTGGTTCTGTTGTCCTTGACGCTTTGCTTGGGCTATTGAGGCCTGAATTATATCATTCTAGTTGGTTAAAAAAGGAAATGTGTGGGACAGAATTTATACGTATATGATCTCTCATCCCACCAATTTTTCTCATGACCTCTGAAGTGAGATTTTCTTTTGCTTTATTCAGATGATGTTTTCTTTCAAATCATCAAGTGGAGGCAACAAATTTGGTGGCGAAGATGATTTCTGAAGCTACAATCCCAACAGCATGCCCTACACCAGTAAGTAAATATTTCTCCCTTTTTATATTCTCTTGTTTGTCCTTTTCTCCTTTGTGCATGCTTTATTGTTGTGCTTTAGCCCTTATCACATGCAGTATCCTTTGAATCCATTTCCTTTGATGAGTGGTGGAGGTAGTTTTCACCAGGCTCTGTGCTGCTACAATTTGTGCTATTCAACTTTGCAAGATTCATAACTTCCAATGAATGCTTCATGGCACGAGGGTGTGCAAGAATTTGTTCAGTTGCTTATAATTATGATTTATTTGGTAACTTAATAGAAATAAATTACTCTTTGCTACTTTTGCCACAAGATTGCTCCAAAACTTATCTATTCTCTTCATATACTAAAACATAGAAGGAACATAATTGAAGGAACTTACATAGTCTTATTTATCATGGAGAAGCATGCAGAAGAAGAAAAAGAAGAGGAAAAAAGGGAGTTCTTAAAGTAGTACAGCATACAGCTTCACAAGGCTGTGATGATTTGGTCCAAGGATGGGACAGAATCACTGGACTTGATCCTGTACCGGCAAGTAGGGCAGGAAGAGTGAGAGAGCAGCCATTTATCGATGCAGGCAACGTGGAACCGATGGTTGCATTTGGGCAGAATTCGGATTTTTTCACCATCCAAGAAATCTGCCAGGCAAATGGCACAACCTGGGGATGAAGATGGTGAGCCTGAGCTGGCATAAGTTGAAGTGGGTAAAGCCAACATTTCTGTCTTTTTGAGGCCAGAGTTGAGCCTACGTGAGGCCATCCATTCCCTGGGCTCAGTTAATGCACGCTGAGTGCATTGAAACACACACTGCAACATGGAATTGAGGCCTAGGGCACACACCAAGGCACATAGCATGGCTGCCCCAATCACCATGAGATTGAAGTCCATTCCTGGTTCTTGTGAGCCATGACAAGGGTTGCTCGAGATAGCGGTAATAGAGGGAGATGGCGAAGTTTCAGCCATATCAGAGAAAATGAGAGGAGGTGAGATGTTCACATAGCAAGCACACGAGAGGAAAATGAGGCCAAAGAGGTCTTATGTTGGGGGAATGGTGGCATTATGATGTGTGCTCATGCTTACTTGATAATCCACTGTCTTCCCTTTTGTTTATGCGCTTCAAAGCAAGAGAAAAAGCATCACTTTCTCACCAAGATTCTTTCGAATTTCCATTAATTGGTTTCATCAGTTTGCGGCAGACATGAAATCTTTTGTTGAAAGTTGAAACTTTCCTTCCCTTACCTAGACACCATTTTTCCCAACAAGTATACAAGCAAGTTTAACTACACAATAATTTGAGTACCAACTCCATTATTGATGGTGGACCAAGATTTTATGCCATTACAAAAGTGCTTTTGCAAAGGTATCAAAAGCAATATCCAGCACTACTGAATGGTATATGCCAGTTCCTCTGGCAGATTCATAAGCAAACTAGATCCTGCCACAGGAACACCGAAAATTTCTTGACTTAGCCATTAATGTTTATCCAAAGAACGGAAAACATTTGTTTTCACAGGAAAGCACTTTTCTCTCCTATCATATTATACTGATCCACAACCATAGAAACCACCCCATTTACTTGTACATTACTCTCTACAACTACTACATTATTGGACACAGTGGTTGCAGCATGTCTAGGGAAAGATGAAGGTACTCCACCTTGAATGTAAAACGAATAGTGAAGATGATTAATTTTGCTTGGGAAAACGAGTACTGGTGAAAAATCAGCCACCCATTTGGTCCCATTTCCGGCTACTGTCAATCTTCCGACTGTAGATTTCAAGCTCATACCAATGGCATTGTTACGGTCTATCACCACCTGATCAATGCTGGAGAAGTTGCCATCCAGACGGACTATTGGAACCCCTTTATGTGATTCACTAGTAAACATATTGTCCACTATGTTAAGCCCAGAAATTGTACCACGGACTGACTTGATCACAACATTAGCATCTCCTAAGAACAATCCATTGGTAACATGGACTTGAAAAGGGTCTTCCATGACTATAGCTGTGAAATCTAAGTAGCAATTGTCAATCCTGGTCAGGGATGAAGACCCAGGGGTTGATTTCACCAAAATTCCTATACCTCCCCAATATGTAGCCTTGTTGTAACAATGCGCCCCAGTGATTATATTAGCCTGTCCTTTCAGTAAGATCCCAATGGCTGCTGAAAAGATTGCAACATCCGTCACAGCATTATCATTTCCGTCAAGATCAATGGCTGTGCCAGAGCAATCCTTCTCATCAGGGTCTGAGCCGACGGTCAGATGTTGTCCCAGGAAGCTGCTTGAAATGTAAGTCTCATGGCCTCTTTTAACCCGAATTCCTTCTGTTAAGAAACGAATAAACATGCAATTGTCAATGCGGATCCTGGCTGAATCTATAATGAAAATCCCTCCTGCTCTGAAACTTGAATCAAACAGGATGTCCCTGAAGGTGATGTCTTCATAGCGAATTCTGTCCCTGTTAAAATCTTTCCGACCGGTTAAATTACCGTTGGTCTGAAAAAGGGGGCGAGAATCCGGTGACCATAGTTCGATTAGATACCGGTCACCGGGAAATGTGCCCGTTGCTCTCAAAGTTCCTCCTTTTACCTGGAAAAAGCAAAAGTGAAAAAGAAGATGAAGATTGTACTACTAGTAATAATAAATTAGTTGGTTGTAACTTTGGTTTCGAAGAGTGAGAATAATTAATGCATTTGGATGGGAAAAGTAGGGAAAGAAGCTATGTTTAATGCATTTCTATGCAGTAAATGTGGAGCATTGAGTGAATCACGGTAGAAACCCACATGCATTATCTTCAAACTGAACAGAAAAACAATAAATTTGGTTTCAAAATCAATGTTCCCATCAGACAATGCCTTGAAAGCTAGATCCATATCAACTACACAAGACACAAGATGCAATGTAGGCATACCATTACAACGTAGACATAACTAATTATCACATATATATATATATATATAAATGTAGAACTAGTTTCAAACCCACAATACAGGTACCTGCGTAGAAAGCTAGATCCATATTAACTACTACACAAGACACAAGATGCATTGTAGACATACTATTACAGTGTAGACACAACCAATTATCAAATTATCAAATGTACAAAAAAAAAAAAATGTAAAACTAGTTTCAAACCCACAATGCAGGTACCAGTGTAGTAGTTAAATTGATAGTGTACCTGTGGTTCAAATGTACCGTCTCCAATATCGAAGAAAGGAAAAGAGAAAAGCAGACTCAAACCTGTCCACAAACACTGCCAACTGGCTCTAAGCATGCCAAAATAGTTATTATTCAGAAATGGACTAATACTGACCAAAACATTGGCTCCGGGAGGGAACCTAAGAGGTTTGCCGATTCTGTAGTCTCCGCCTTGCAGATCGATCTCGATTCCACCCAAGTCATTGACACCAGGGAGCAGAACAAGACCACTCTGAACATGGAATGCATCATTCAGGGCTTGCAGAATGGCATCACTGCTGTCTTGTTTCCCTGTTGGGTCTGCCCCATACCCAATTGGATAGAACACTCTCCCCTCCTAAAACCCCACATTGAAACAAAAACCCAGAAATCAGAGATATATTAAAACGGGCAAAGATCAGAAGAACTAAATGAGGAGCTTACTCTTTTGATACTGATGTCTGGAGGAGATGATTGCGGGGCAGGACTGATGGCCTGTTTCTGTGCTATCATGGCTTGAAAATGTGTCAGTTTCAGGTTTTTCGTGGAACAGGTGGTTTTTTTCACCATGATCAGTACCATGAGGAAGCACAATGCCTGGATGGATCTCATTCTCATTGTCATTTTCTTCCTTTAGCAACTGGTTTGCTCTGCTACTGTAAAAAGTTGGAAATATGCTTAGGCAATGCGCTTCCTCGTAAAAAAAACGGAAAAAGGAGTACAATAAAGAAATCCAAATCTTTGAAATGGCATCCAGCAAAAATTGAAAAGATGGAAAATAAAACAAAAAAGTGTTAAGGAAGAAAGAAAGAAAGAAAGAAAGATTATTGGAGATTGGGTCCATATTCTTCAGCAATACGGCAGTAGATGATGCATGTTTTAGAAAGACTTTACCAGGTCCTCTGTTTCTTTTCTCTTTTTTTGTTAAAAGTTTCAAAATGCAACATCAGAAAAAACCAAAAAGAATTAGTTGGCTTTGCTTCTAATGCTAACAATAACTAATTATGGTGGTTGAGACTCTGGCAATAAAGGTCGCCGTAATTATTCACTACTAATGGTGGAAACCAAGAAATGGTGATGGTTCATTGGTTGCGGAATTGGAAAGAGCAATTCGGTAACTTTCAAAATGCACTTCTTGGCCGACTGTAGTCATGGTGGCCACATACATTATTGTCAAGACAACACAGTTTTAATTGATATAAAGTTTATTAGTTTAACCATTAAAAGTGATTAATAATAACTAATAGAGTAGTTGATATTTATTAATATATTAAAATCAATTTACTATTTGTTTATTAAAAAAAACTATAAATTGATAAATATAAATCAAAATTATGTCGCCTTAACAAAAAAATATATATGGTAATAACCACCGACTTCTTGGACCAAAGATCATAATTCAATTAATCTTAGCATAAACCCAACACCCAAACCTAAATCTTTGCATGAAATGAAAAAGGTGAGGAAAAATAATTAGTCTTTTGACTTGGGGTGATTTTTTAATTAAAAAAATTTATAACATTTGTTAACAGTAACAACATAACATCCAATGGATGAATATATATTAATTCACATCTTTTAAAAGTGAAAAAAGTTGATAAAAATTATTTTCATATCATGTTGTTAACAAACGTTGTCAATAAATCATTTCAGTTGTTTATTATTTAATAATTTTGAAAAATGGAGAGAATTAGAAACCTTTGCCGTATGATTGATGATAGACCAAACCCCCCCCAAAATAACAATATTGTTTATGCTTGCATTATGTCAATTGAAGAAAATCAAGGCCAACCATTCAAATAAAGGGAATTATAGCATAGACTTTCTATATTTCTGCCAACCTTTCCAAATTCCAACTTCTCATCAAAAGTATCTGTATTTTGATGTATTATTCCTTTCGAATTATAATAAAATTCTGTAATTGTGTATACAATTTTCCATCCTATCCACAGTTAGTGGGATCATGTTCAAAAATGAAGGTATAAATAGCCTCAACTTGACAGTCCTTGATCCACCGTTACAAACACATTTGCAGGCACGGCTATGTTTGACTCGATCACCACACGATTGTTTGATATGTTACGAAGGGCATGGCTAGGGAAAGTGCTGTCACCTGAGCTTAACGAGTACTGTACATGCTTAATGAGGTTAGGGAACAAGAGAACAGGACTAAAATCGACGGTCCAAGAGGTGCCATTCCCCTGAGCAGATCCCCTTGCCATGGTTGCCTTTATGTTCATCCCCTTGGCAACATTCCTGTCCACCACAACCTGATCAATTTTATTAAATGCCCCGTTGGCTTGGTCTAACCGGACAATGTCCAGGCCCTTATTCCCACTAAACATGTTATCCACTATGCTGACCCCCTTTGCAACTCCATTTATAGACTTGAGGAGAATGAATGCATCACCCAGGAAAAAACTGCTTGAGATGTGGAGCTGAACTGGATCTTCAGCTACAATCCCTGTGTAGTCCATGTAGGAGTTCACAATCCGAGTCTGTGTTAACCCGGGCATCTTCAGGTATATACCTGTGCCACCAAAATCTGTTGCCTTGTTGTAACAATGTACCCCTGAAAATGTATTGGCTTGACCTGTAACCATTATTCCTATAGAAGCAGAAAAGATCACCACATCCGTGACAGCATTGTCGTTACCCATCAAGTTAATTCCAGTGCCTGTAAAGTTTCTTTCTCGTGAATCGCTTCCAGCAGTGATATGCTGGCCCAAGAAAGAGTTCCTGATATAGGTCTCATGCCCACTTTTGACTAAAATCCCATCACTGGTGAAATGGGTAATGTAACAGTTGTCTATGCTTGTTCTAAGTGAGTTTATAACTGAGATGCCTCCTCCCCTGTAATTAGAGTCCAACATAAGGTCTCTAAGAGTTATGTACTCATAATTGTACTTAGATGATGATGAAGAAGATAAAGAATCGCTAGTTGTTGGAGACAGATCAATCAAATATCCATCTGTTGGAAAATCATCCGAGGCACGCAACGTTCCTCCATGAATCTGTTTCATCAAAAATTAGATTCAGTTAATTGGGATTCTGAAGATTAGTGAAATTTCACTAGAAATTCATCAATTCATAGATCTCTTCCTTTCTCTTTAATAACATGATTATGATTTAGTATGACAACATTGATTTATATATGTAAATATAAGTTTTTTATTTTTTAATACTTTAAAAATATATAAAAATATATTTAATATTTATTTTAATTAATATTTTATTTTTTTAAAATGATAAAAAAATATAAAAAAAAATTAAAAAATAAAGTGTTTAAAAAGTGTTATTAAACAAAATTTATATTATAACATTAAGTGAGACTCTACCAAATAATAGCAAATATGATCTATTAAAATTTAAAATTATGATCTATTAAAATGACAGTGAAGAATTTAAACTTAAATTTCCAACATGATACAAATCACTCCTTACTATTCCATCAATATGAATGGGTTGAAAACAAACTAAAGAAAATGTGGTCTTTGAAGTACTCAAGGCTAGATGGCGACTTTCCAGCCATCTCTTATCTTCCTGCGTTGAAAAGTTTGAGGAAAAATGAAATTTGTGCAATCAGCTTTTTCCAATTTGACTGATTGGAATTTAGTAATTTTGCACATGGCTTGTTGGGATTTGACTCCATAAGACTAAGAATGTCAAGATTCACGTGGGACAAATCAGAAGATGCCACATATGATTACACGTAATAATAAGATGACGACTCACACTTTACGGCTCAGAATTCACATTGCAACTTGAATTATTAAAGAATGCCACGTGGCAATGACAATTCACATGGGATGCAGAAATCATGCCACTGATGTCATAATAGTGCGTTTCGAGCAGTTAAAAAGGGACTTAATTTAATTTTTAGTCTATTGACTATAAGTTTAATTTTATTTTAGTTTAGAAAGTTTTTTTTTTTTTCTAAATGGTCTATAAATTTTAGAAATATTTTAAAATAGTCTATTAGTACAAAATTTTGTTAGATTTAACAGAAAGAGTAGTATTTTAAGTTTTAAAAAAATGACATTATAATCCTAATAAAATATAATGACTCAAGAAATATTTTATGGAGGTAAATTAATTAAAATTTGTAATAAACTTTAGTAATTAGTCTGTATTAAGAGATAGATTGTATGCAGTTTCTTTTGAAAAATTATTTAAATGTTTTTTAAAAAATAGTATAAAAATAAAATTAAAGACATTTAAATAATTTTACAAGACAAACTACAGACAGTCTGCTCTGTAAAACAATTTTCTGAAAAATACATTAAGCAAGATAGGATTAAAAACTATTTTTATAGTGAAAATAAATTTAAGGACTAAAATATCAAAATAAATATAGTTAGAAGACTAAATATTTTTTTAAAGAATAAGAAGATTCTGTTAAAAATAATGAATTAGATAAAATTGAAATAAATGAGAAAGATAATAGACAAAATTCAAAGAATTCAAATATAATAAATAAAATTGAAAAAAATATAAAAATTAATAAATAATTTGTTAAATTAACCTGTTAAAAAGAGTAAGGGAAATGAGATGCACAATTTTTTTCTTTA